GACTGAATATTAACTATCTTAATTGAATGGTATTCTTGTTTTATTCTAAAATTTCAGTTATTTAAATAAGTATTGAGGATTCTTAACAGGAAACTAGTGTCTGAAAGATTGATCGCTTCATATTAATCTACATCTGGTAAAATTTACATGCTTGATTTATGGTTTGTTTTGGCCTTCTGTTCTGACTTAGACTGATTTCAAAGAATAGCACTCTTACTCACTAACACTGAGCGAAGTGGAAATAAGATAAATTCGGTAATTTTTATTCCAATCTTTGCTTTTACGTCAGAAGAATGGCGTTTTCTTGTTTCTTCCCCTAATTAACTGATATAAAATGATTCAACATTTTAACTTTCATCGGAAATTGATGAATAAAACTACAATACACATTAGTTAATTTATTAATTATTTTGAACAACATATGACTTTTAAACGCTATCATTATGATGATTACAGTTTATTACTATTTTATATCACGTTTTTGTTGTTCATTCGTTAGAGCTGTAATGAAATGGCTACAAAAAAAGGACAACTTCGAAAATATGAAAATTGTTTTTGACTCCACAAGTCGGTAGGTTACTTTTCTAGAACTACTATCACTATTTAAATTTAAGTAATAACACGTTAATGATGTGATAATGTAATTATCTTGATTTATTCACTTAATGTTTAGCTAAATAATAATGCTTTCTCGTAATTTAAAGCTATCTTTTGTATATATTTAAAGTACGTTTATATTATGAGTCTCATCACCTAGAAATTTGTATAATATTTACAAGTAATATGAAGACAGAATCATTTAAAAATTTTTGATTAAACAGTTACTGAAAAGTATAAAAAAGTTATGCAGCTCCCTGTCTATATAGCTAACCCTTTAATTTCCTGTTCCTTGACATCTCTGTAACACATGAGATTGAGATATAGCATAGAATGAAACAATCTTCCCAGGAATCTAAAACTTTAGAAGGTGACAATATCAAATTTTAAGTAAAAATAGCAATTCTCATTTTATTACAACAATATTTGCTAAAAAGATATTTTAAAATTTATGTTTCGAAATACTGTAACAACTATTTAGGGTAAGATACAAAGAAAAATGAACAAAATCTTCAAACTTCTATTTGTATCCCGTTCCGAGCAGTCTCGACTATAAGTAACGCACTTGTCGATTTCTTTTTGTGTCTGTGTGTGCGTAATTTTTCTGCCCATCCCAAAGCAGAGGTTTATATTTGTTAAGAAATAATCGTCTTTTTTGTTTCTCACGTGATTTTTCTTCTCTTGTTATAATTTTATTTGGACAACCTGTCGGTCTCCCCTTCTATGTCCTCGCATATGTAACCAGAACAACTACTTGAGTAACTCTAATTATAAAATAGCTAAAGACAAAGTTTAAACACCACTTAACAGAGCTGATTATAAACTATTTTCATAAATGTATATTAAATAAAGTGATAAGAGAATTAATTTATGATTTTGTGCAAAAGTTTGTGTTTATTTTAGAACAAAGTCACATTGGGTTGTCAGCTATGCGAAGCGTGGGGAATTGAACCCCGGATTGTAGCTTCGTAAGTCGGTAGACTTACCGCTGATCCACCGGGAGACATTGGGGAAAAGTGACAAGACCTAGCTCGTGCAAGCTACAACAACGAAATATAGGAAGTTTAGAAGACTTAGGAACAAACCACAAGTCTGGGATTTGTTATAGTTCCTTTAAACGTTCTTTTTATTCGTGAAAACATTTTCGTGTTCAGTTATATTTGTTTGGAAGCTATGGAAATTTTCTTCGTGTCTAGACATCAGATAAGACTAGTTAAGTAGGTAGGAGACTGCAAAATATCCCGGTGAGTCAAATTCTTTTACATTGAATTTTATGTTTAAGTTTATCGTATTATAAAAACGTGTACAAATATAATTCCTGATAGCGTATGTAAAACTAAGTATGTTTATTAGATATAAATTGATTTCTACCAAGAATATTGTTAATGAAAATTGTCTGTTATTAAGCAAAAAGCTACACAGTGGACTATTTGTGCTGTGCCCACCACCACCACAACGGGTATCGAAACCCGATTTTAACATCATAAACTACTGGGGGGATGTTAGAAATGGTTATCTAGTCTGACCTGACACTTTTGTGACAGATCAGTTGTAGGTCATGGATAAATATTTGTTAGTTTTAGCCTATGTTGTTTTTGTTTTGTTTTTTACAGATAGAAATGGTGACTACATTAAAAAAAAGTATAATATCAAAATAAGTATGTTAATGAATATCAATCAAGTTCAAATTCAGTGGATGCATAAAATGAAACTTTCTGATTAACATCAGCAAAATCAAATTATAAAACGAAACAAAGTGTCTCACGACAAATTCTTTAACATTTCACAAAACTAAATCAGAGAACAAGAATATTTTAAAGGTGAGACTAGAATGCATTTATTAAGTTTGCTCTAAATTTCATTCAATTTGAGCTATGATAATTTATTTTGATTCAACCTATGTGTGTGTGTGTGTGAGAGAGAGAGATTACCTAAGGAGCCCATTTAGACGCCAAAGAATGCCGCCTCACGCTGATTGGCTGCCTCAGGCTGTAATAGGGAGGAAGAGCACGCACAATGCGCGTAAAACAAACTACATACAAAAAGTCCGGGGGAATATTTTTATAATAATTTTGCACACAGAGTGATACTGTCTAAAGATCAGTTCAAAGTCAAAAGATGTTCGTTCTGATACATGTCACAGTTGGAGATATCTAAGACAAAGTTTTGTGTGATTGAATAGAAGAACATTACTTTTACGATGAATATTTAATAATTGAACTCGCAGACATTGATAATAGAAAGGAACACAAAGATTAAAATTCCAGAAAATTGAGTCACCTTTTTTTATATTCCTAGCAATCTAGTGTTTTGTACCTCAAAGTGATTTTCTACAGAAATTCATAGTGACTAAAAAGAATAAATGTTGATATTTAATTTGTTGTATTAGAAAATCCGAAAAACTTACTTACGTGAATGGAATTTTGTTCAACACTAAGTCTGACGTTTTAGAAACGTACAAACGTTTTGGTAAAATGAACATAAAATGTTTAATAATTTGTGGGTAACATTAAACATACGAATGGCTAGATACATAGTGTTAGTATATTAATATATGTAAAGTGTAAAGTTGAATCAATATTTCAAGATTGAAAACTTTTAACAAGAAAAACACTCCTTTTCAAGACTATGTAAGATAAGCTAGTATAATTATGAAAAGTTTGTTATGCAAATTAGATGAAATATTATCATTGAAGTGAAAACTATAAAGTTGATGATGTAAACACATGTTGAAACACGTTGATATCTGTTGATCTACAACTCTCTCTCTGGTGCTTCTCGTGAACCATCTGCACGCTCAATGACCTCATCGTACTACACTTTGGAACTTTCTGCCCCTAGTAAGACTCCGTCTGGTTGCATACCTTGGAACTATGACGTCACGAAACATAAGCGCCATTTCTCGCCTTCCAGCAACGCGCCCCTAGTAACACGACATCTAGTGGCACAACGGAGAACTATGACATCATGGGACCTCCTGGTCTCAAGTTCCCCCTCCTCTTTATAACCTAAGGCAGTCAATCAGTGTGACGTGTTTGATGTTCGTACGAGCTCACTAGTAACTTTTATGTGTGTGAACTATAAACTATGTACATTCCAAAAAATATCATTTAAAGGCCTATATATTTGCTCATTGGTACATAGATTTCTAAATAAATATATTTCACATTTAGATTTGCTCGTCTTCAAAAGCTACATGTTAAAATAGCTGGACGCTATCTCTTTATTCGTTTCATTGCTGTCACTGGTGATGCTATGGGAATGAACATGCTTTCGAAGGTAAGTTTTCGTTTTTAGAAAAAGATCTCATTAATTCTTCTTTTCCCACAACCCAACTTAATAGGCTTTTTTAATGTTGTAAAGAACCAATATTCTTTTTTCTATAATATTTCTATGATAATGTGAAACCCATGTCTTAACCTTTCCTCATGCCCAATGAGAAAGACAAGGTATAGGAGTTGAAGAGAACCACTAACTTTACCATACAAACCTAATAGTCACAAATCGCCCTCATTCCTTCACTCTACTTAACCACAAGCCTACTAGTATAAAATAGGAAATTCTGGAAATTGTATGTGATGAGGAGCATCACACACAAACACAATGAAACCATAAAATGCTAAGATTACATTAGACCCCGAGGAAATAACTTCCTTAGGCCGAATTATGCAAGGGAATACTTATCAGGCAGCAAGTGCGATCACATGTTATCAACAATTAATTAAGGAACCCACCAAAACTTAGTAGGATTGATGTTCGTTTGGCTTAAGCTTTTATAGTGGTGATACAAGGGATGTATTCATACTTAGAAAGTTCGTCCTGCTACAACTACAACTGAGAAACCTCTCAAAACTAGATTCAAGTCCAAGGACCTTGGACCTGTTTTCATAGAAATGATACAATGGGTATATCTGAGTGCACTTAGCTTTATTACTATGTCAGAGTGGTGTTAAAGAAGCAAATATCTCTTCATACAGTATGGATTGCCTTGCCACTCAGGACACTGCAAAATCCACCCAGCTCTCCAGACCTTAGACCTGATCTGATATTACCATGGAACATTAACACTACAGAACCTGAATTACCCAACTAGCTTGCATGTACCTGACCATATCTGTGTTCAGACTAGAGAAATCCCAGCTTGATTTGCTGATCATTTGATGATGTAGCCAGTAAAAATTTACTTCTGCATACATAATGTGGTGATTAAATCCATAGAACATAGTTCCTATGAATCCACACTCAATATAGTGATAAAAACACCAAAAATCAAACAAAATAGCTAGATCTTACACGGACCAGAATGATATTTTCGAAAGACCTCCCAACTGGGTTCCAATTTCCTCAATAGAATAATGAACAGTTTATAGATCATGTATTGATACCACAAAACGAGGAGTAACCCCAGATTAACGCACCAATAAATGTGGAGGAGTCACCATTAGGAACGATAGGAACTTTGTATCATTAAATCTAGAATCCAATAAGAAGACAGTCTAGCAATTGTTCAGAAAGGAATACCCAGAAATATTTGGAGCATTTCTCGCCAATTTTCAAGACTTAAACTAAATAGATTATTGTTATGGTACTGGCAATTTATTAGTCTGGAACTAGACCAAATGGAACATAATGAAGAGAAGATGAAGAAGTGTTTCCCGAGGAAATCAGAACCATTCTTTGTGCATAATATAAAACAAGGATAACAGAAAATGGTGAAAGTCTATATTCTGAATATCATACATTGATACATACTGTAAACCCCATAAGAAAGCCTATGCTAACAATGGTATCAGATAATAGATAATACAAACCTACATAATAATGATTTGCTTGAGGAAACTATAAGGTTATTATTCATAGTGCAAGATGAGTAGACCCTAGTAAACTCTACAACATAGGAGAAACAGGAAAAAACTTATTATGAAAAGGAGAAAGCGAGGAACAACTAGTAAGTATTTAAAACTCTTTGCATTGCCCAAAAGGAAAGATAAGAGACAACGAAATAGAAAATAGATTAATGACCATCAACAATTACACACCAACACAGATACAATATTACATAAATATCAGACCATATTCTCATCCCAGTCTACTTAACAAAGGTTAATGCTTTGTATATGAATCAATTTGACATTGGACCCGAATAATGCCTACTTTATTACTACAGAGAAATATAAGTGGTTATCCAAATGAACCCAAGGTTAAAAGCTGCTTAAGATTTAACACCAGGTAGAGAGATATAGATTCATATGATCTGACAACACTGAAAAAGACATTTTATCCACCAGTATGCTATTCCCAATATAACTTCAGGGCGTTAATGAAGATAGTACAAGATAGATAGGAAGTTGAATTTGACATCACTGTAAAAAAGCAAGTTGTCCCAATTATCGTAACTGAATAATATTATGTTAGGAAAACTGTCTAGGATGAAGACTTCAGCTAATAAGAGCCAATGACACACCATCATGCAACCTGCATGCCTTCAGTTAAGATCAAATGTGTTTAAGAAGGCGACTGAACTGTACAACCCTGACATTAAGAGTCTATTGCAGTTTCCAATCATAAAACCTAGAATGGATGGAGACCCAGGAGGAGCAGAAGGAGATTCATCTGAAGCCCAGTAAATATTATAAAGATTAACGTTCTTCCACCAAAGTCACAAATGTCTATTATATTAGTTAAGTTCATAAAGAAAGATTGAAATCACCGCTACGCCCATACCTGAGTGAAGAAAAATGAAGATCAAAGATATATATTTGCCAGTCAAGTTAGAAAGTACAGATTAACAGTACCTATCCAAATATAGAAAGCTCATTAATATTTAGGATTTGCAGGCTGGGTAAGAAAGTAAAAATTAACAGTATCTATCCAAATAAAGAAAGCTTATAGATATATAAGATTGACAGGCCGGGTTCTGGGAGATACCCCTCCCCAAAAATAGATCTTCAAAACGTTATTGATGTTTTTCGACTAATGGTTCACAAGAACAACTTAAAGCTTGACTGATTAAATAGTGTTCAGTCAAATAGTGCACGTCTCCATACAGCAGTATAACTAGAGGGTAGACTGAAAGAGAAATTAAAGTAAAATATATGTGAAGAGGGAAAAGGATGTAGTTGATGAGGAGAGTTACGTAATTCAGCGTTTACAGCGCAAATCAATGCACTAGTAAAACAAACCATGAAGAAAAATGGGTCTAAGGAAAGTTACGATCCTTGTCTTTAGAGCTAAATGAATCTGAACCGTGTTAAGTAAGAATGCAGTTGATATTAAAGAAAGGTTTGACTTTTCTCATTTATTTTATAACTAGTGGATTTCTAATTATATTTTTACAGAATCATTATACAATGATATTACAGCTCAAAACATAATTGACTTGTGTTTCACTTTAATTTTTTGTCTCATGTCTTTCCTGCAATACCTAACCATATGTTTTTAAATTAGCGTTTTTTTTGCCGCTAAAATCAAATTTTGCCTAAAATAGGAAAGGAATTAAGATTAGCAATTACCACGATTAATTTTTCATTTATCATTAAAAAAAAACAATGATACGAAGTCCTTTTTCATTTAAAACTATTGTCGTTCTAATATTAATTAACGAAAAGCTAACAAAATCTAATGTTACCAGTTTACTATTGCATTTTTGTGATTTCAAATATTATGTGACAGAGAACAGGTTTTTGTTTTCTCAACTTGTGGTCATTGACAATTATATTACTAAAACAAAGGTCAGTAGGATAAAAAGCATCTCAATAATAGGTCAAAGCATTGCTTACAAACAAACAAAGTTTTATTCCATCTTCTGTTACTTCTTGAAAATATATGATCCTAATGATAAATTAGTATCAATGCGTAAATGAACAACCATCAGCTATAATTAATCCACTTGAATCTCTAATATAATTTATTCTTCTACCCAAACACATTGAACATGAAATATTTCCCATATTTTAAGCTAGGGAGTATATAATACTGATTTACAACTTTTAGTCATGGACTGTTAGTGTATTCTATATTTTGGGGATTTTCCGTAAGAAGAGATCAGTGAGCATCATAGATTCAGTCATATTGATGAGTGTCCTATATGTTTTGTTTATGTGAACTTGTATTATCTGATCCATCAGGACCGTCAAATCTTAAGAAATTGAATGCTATGAATGTAAATTTACTGTTTTGAATCGTATTGTAAAACAAAGGAAATCATAAATACGTTTTACTGACTGTTAAGGTCAGTGACCTTGAAATCTTGAGAAAGAGAATGTCATGAATGTACATTTAGCTTTCTGTATCGTTATGTAAAGTGAAAGAAAAGAGAAATTCGTTTTTCATTGATTGTTAAGTTCATTGACATACAGATATGTTTTCCATTAATTAAATTAAACGTAAAGTAATGTCCAAAATTCCAGCACTACGGAAATAATGATATTAATTATGGATTTCAAGTGCATGATATGTTTTGTAGAGTTTCTAAATGAAGAAACTTTCTATGATCATATTAGCTTAAATTGTTTTGGGGAATGTCCATTATATTTTGTTTACGGTGATTTATTCTATTAATTGATCACATGCTATATACTGCAGATAGTACTGTATTAGGCTGTAGGTCAGTATTTTATAAACTAAGATGTTTGTAGTTCTCATAAATAACATGTTAGTGTATCTAATTCTTGAAGTGATTTGTCTTAGATATATTAATGATATCTGCTTAAAGCATATTGGGCTATGGTGAAACATGAGTATTATATAAGAAAATATAAATAAAGACTTGTATTATATGTTCAGTATACTTGTTAGAAACTGTTATTCATGGGGTGTAATTTTTAATCTAAGCTAGACACATAATTATCTGGCGTTTGATATTTAGTCTGAACAGAGTAGAATTAAGTTGATTTTGTTATTGAATTACCAACATAAGTTATATTTTCTGAATATTTGTAGACTGACCCTGCCTGAACTTTTGACCAATAACTGTATGTCGGACTCAGCTTAATCTTACTGAGTAGTGAGCATAAAATGCTTTTGTTGTGTAGTACGATGAACTCAGCAAAATATAAGAAATGTACATGAACTTTTTCCTTTATACACTTTATAAAAATCTTGCATACTGAACTGAAATGAACAAGTAGTATTCTGGACATAATGTAGAAATGTACAAATGTTGTATGGCAAGTTTTGATCCATGTATGGGTTCTATCTTTGTGTCATGTAATAAGTGAAAACAAGAAGTATTAGATTTCATCTGATATATAACAACACAGATCACTGAGTTGTAACTGACAAAATAAATTAATATATGTGATGATCTTTGTATAAAGAATATCTCCATTTTCCTATTAAAATCTGGCATAAGTTAATAAAAGTGCTTGTCCTATTGATCTGTAAATTAACAGGGTACTGACCGAGCACTGAAGACACTTCAGGAAATCTTCCCTGATCTTGAGATCTTAAGTCTCAGTGGGAACTTTTGTTCCGACAAGAAGTCTTCTGCAGTAAACTGGTAGGTAATATTCTTTAATGTGTGTGTTTTTTCTTAAGAATTAATGTAAAATTAAAATATCAAAACTTTTCGGTACAGTTTGATACCTTTTATTTCAGTATATTTTATTTTAACACGCCTGATAATTTTAAAATGTTCTATCTATATTGGCCTTTTGGAAAAATGCTGTACGACACTTGTCATCTAAGCATTTTTTATTAACTTAGGTCTTAACATATATCTCAAACACACCCAGTTTACAGTAGTTGCGGGAGATTATGGGTTGCATTCATGTTACTGTTTCACAGTATTTTTGTCCTCCAATGGGATAGCGGTAAGTCTACGGATTTACAACGCTAAAATCAGAGGTTTGATTCCCCTTGGTGGACACAGCAGATAGCCCGATGTGTCTTTGCTATAAAAAACAAACACACACAGTATGTTTAAGAATAACATATACAGCAATACATGCTACGTTGACAAAATTTTCCCTACTTTAGAAGCCAGTGTTTTCATTTAAACTAAAACCTTTTTTCTAAAAGTTTATTTATTGTAATCCTACACAATGAGTTAACTGTGTTCTGCCCACCGCGAGTATCGAAACCCAAGTGTTAGCGGTACAAGCCCAAAGACGTACCGCTGAGCCACCGATGGAGTAATAAATTTAACTTTCGGTGCTCTGTCTACCACGGGGAATTGAACCCCATATTTTAATAGTATAATTTAGTAAACTTGCGACTGACCCACTGAGGGACTACATAACAGTGAATCATATATTTTCCTATACATAAATATATACCTTAACATTACACGCTATTGAATTGTTGAAATAAAATAATGCCATCGTTTTAATTATAAATAGGTGATAGAACAAAGTCATCCTAACATGAGATCTTGTATTAATTCACTGTGCCCTGAAACTGAAAAAAAAAAAAAAACATCTTTGGATTCAAAATCACAAAAACAAAAAACAGCACAGTTTAAATTTTCTTTTGATAAGGTTTTAGCCTAAATTTGGACTTAAATGTCTAATTTACTGTATATAAAATATATCTTTTACTGTCACAAAACACTTTTTTTCGCTTCTAATAAGTTTCATTCAAGAGCCCCAAACATCTTATAAAATAACCTACAAAATTCTGTAATATATTTTTGACGAGCTTCATGCTAACAATTATTGCATTGCAACGAATAAAACACCAATTAGTTTGTTAAAAACGTGAGATGTTAAGATTTTGGCGCCCCCATATCATTACCATTCTCGTGGAAATGATTGTTTCATCATATAAAGAAAATATTTCAAAATTTCAAGTACTGATTAAATTAACAGGAAAATATGTCTAAACTAGGGACTACTAGAAAAGGATGAAAATTACTTTAAATGCATATGAAATTCATGTAGAACCTACGAATGTACTCCTTTCTCTTCTCGATGGCTACTGGTGAGGACTGAGTGCTTTGAGAAGGTTGGATGGTTCACTGTTAAAGAACCTTTTCTATCTCTTTCTTAACCACATGTTACCTGATCCAAGATAGTTTTCATGGTAACTGCTTGATCGAACTGGTGTTGGCATTATCGGTATAATGTTGGAACAGAATTATTTAACCAAATTGGCCATGTGGACTCACAAGGGCATCTTCCTTCATTTTGATAGAATCATATTAATTTCACACAATGCTAACAAACTCTTCGAGGTGCTCAGGGAGCTTAGTGGTTGTATTATTGATATTTATCTTGGCTATATGTGACCTTGAGTTGATAATTTTCAACAGAATATCCTCGTAAGCTACTCCTACCACTGTCTTGGCAGTAAGTACAAATGAGCCTATAGTTCCAGCTCCTTTGAATAGGATAGTCAAAATTAGCACATCCCAAATGGATAATTTATTGGTTGTTGAATGTGCCACTGGCCATAACTCTCTGCTTCTGACTGCCATAATTCGGCACTCCAACACAAAAAAGCGTGTAGTTATACATCCTCTCTTTAGAAGCAGGAGGTAAAGTTACATGAAGTTTTTACTGTTTATTAGATATCGCTGATGGTTTCTCTTAAGGTTGATGGTTTATGGCGTGGCTTCATTTAAAAATAGGAGATTTAGATACATACATGTGCGGGTGTAACATTTACTGATAAGTCCCTCTATGAACTTATCAACCAGTACGTGGTCTTATCTCATGGAGACGTATTTGATAAGCTTTTCCATGGGTGTATCGGAGATTGTTGACACAGACTGCTGAAATTTCAGTAAGTACTCACTGGTTATGCTTTTTAAGGTTCAGTCCTGAAACAGCCTTAATCCTATTAGGTCTAAGTGCTGCCACAATTCTGCCAAGATTATGTCCTAATTTACTACCTGCTCCTCAGTAAAATGCTCCGCTATGTTAATGGCTGACCCATAAAGAAAAATAAGCAATGGCTTGCGAACTGATGTTAGATACATCCATTCTTCTCCCAGATCTCGTTAAATCTTTCCAGGAAGCTGGTAATATATAAAGATAAATGGGTTGAATGACATCAGGTGACAATCAGTCCCTTGCGATTTTTAATCACCTTAATGTTTTCCCTCACCACCAATCTCAGAATCAAATGTGCAAGACTGAGTTTTGTGGTCGGGGTATATCTTGCAATCAGTTTGTACGTCCACATTCTCCATCACGCTCCACACCTGTTCTGAGAAACAGTAGTAAAGCAAGTCTAAAAATTGTTTGAAAAATTTGCGTGGGTTAAGTTTACAGAATTTAAAGATTATAAGGATTAATTTAGAGCTATACAGACTTTTCCAGGGCAAAGCTTTGGTGTAAGGTACCGGAATCGGCCGAGGAGTTCCGAGTGTTATATGTGTAAAGGGTATTTTCTCATGTTTGGAACTCAAATGCACAACTTACAAGAAGTATATTTTTGGAGATCCTCAAGAAACATAATCTCAGTAAGATTTTAAGATTCTAATAAAAACAAGGTTATATTTTTAGAGGAAAACTGATGTTTTATTAAAGATTGTGCAGCAACTAAATCTTGTCTATTTATAATAAACATTAATTCTCATTAAATGTATTTGTGCTTAAGTTCTTATGATACTTGAATATTTATAAGAACGGTGTATCTCATGCATTAATTCACGAGACAATCAAACAATATTTCCTCTGTTTGCTTGCTTTAGCGTAAAGCTACAAAATGGATTATCTGCGCTATGTCTAGCACAAGATATCGAACCCGTATTTTAGCGTTGTAAGTTCGTAAACTTACCGCTAACCCCCTGGAGAAACCAATCGCACTTTTGAGTGCTGCTGGATTTTGCCGTATTGCAAAAATCACACCAGTGTCTGTGACATTTATTCATCTATCAGTATTTTTGTAAATTTCCAATGTAAACATGTAAGAGACACTATGTCAGTGTAGCTTTTGTAGCAGAGCTTGATGTATTTTCTACTCTTCGCTATTATTCCAGAGAATACCAAGTGGTATAAAATCATGATAACAATAATGTTTTCGAGAATTTACAGTGAACATTGTGGACAATTTATAACTGATCAGCATTGTGTAAATGGTATATAGTTATAAGATAACATAATATGTTACATTTTCAATATAAAAATACGGCAAAAATTAAATATTTCCGTTATAAATTAATGTTTGTGAAGAATTGGGGGTAATTTATTCTAATTTACTCATTTCTTTTTACAAAAATTCACATGATTTGACAAAAGGAGAAATGCTAGGCAAAATTTGACAGTAAAACAACGCAATAAGGATCTGCTTATGTAATTAAAGACTTAATCAAGTTTTGATTACTGTTTAGGATTCTGAGTAGAGGGAAGTCAGTCGTCTGTGAAGCCGAAGTTTCAAAACAAATTGTAGAAGAGGTATGTAACACCAAAAGGCCATATTCTATGGAAATACATTCTTTAATTATAATTTTGAATGTTAATATCGCCTATAGTGGGGAATTTTTTTTGACAATACAACATGTTGATCTAATTTAAGTTATAGTATGTACTTAAAAACATATTGGTGTTTGTTCAAAGTTACTAATTTGTGTTTATTATTTCCAACACTTACTAAGTATAAGTCCTTCAAAGGAGTATTATATTCATATTTTGTGATGAATGCGATATGCATGTCCTTCAAATATTAAACTAATTATTTCTAAAAACGTAACGATCAATTCTCAACACTTTCAATTGACTGAATCGCAAAATATCTTAACATTAAGATTAATACTGATTCATAACTTTAAAAAATATCGACTCTCTTTTACTTTATCTAAAGCACCAAAGCCTAAATTTGATTTCCACAGGTCTTGAAGACAACTGTACAAGCTCTTATTGACGTAAATATAAGCAAAAACTTAGTTGGCTCAGCTCTTGCAGGAAGTATTGGCGGCTTCAATGCTCAAGCTGCCAATATTGTGACAGCGATTTTCATAGCCACTGGTCAGGTGAGTTCAGAAACTAGTCATGATTTTAAAGTTGAGTCCTGCAATGCGTAAAAGCTGCTTGTTCATTTTATCTACTCCTCGTTTTCAGTTCCTAAACGACACCAGAGGTTTAACGAAACGCGTAAAGAACCAAAAAAAAGTATTAATGTAAATACATTTAGTCTAAGTCTAGTTGTTCTATGATTTAATGTATTATGTTGGGTATTTTAACATGAAATTATCAATTATAACTATAAATTCAGTCTTAGAAAAAAGGGAGTAAAAGTACTTAAAGAAATGCCGGAGTGGACAAATGTTTACTTATCGTTTAATTAGGAGTAAAAGCTTGTTCTTAAACAATACTAAAATATATTTTTTTTTATATTGAACATAATCAGTTTTAATTATTGTTGGATAGAAAATGAAGGAGGTAATGCCATATACATCTATTAAAGAAAATGAGCAAACAAGTAGAGGAAAGAGGTTCGGCCTGCAGCATAATTATCAAAGGGGCTACTGCAACTAAAGGATCCTGGGCACAGCTCAAAAGCTGATAAGTTACTTAAAGGCTCACCCAAAACCAGTTCCCCCATACCGCTGCCACATCAAAATACTCTACGTTGTTAAAAAGATATTTCAGTTTTGTACATATACTTTAGTTTCTAACTAAAACAGGTTAGTTTTTGCGTTATGTGTTAGACTAAGGGGAAAACATTTATTGTATATTTATATAACAGACTTAAAATATGATATGCTTTAAACATATATATAGTTCATTGTGTTTACATCACATCATTCCGTCTATATACGTTCGTTTAATAAGTATTTAATTACCTAAGATTTTAGTGTTTTCATTATATTACCAGTATTGGAGCAGCATACCTTCAAAAGGAGGATATTATGGTTTGTCACTGATGTACCATATCAATAAAGAGTGGATTCACCTTTAGCACTATCATAGCACGAACTCTCACTAACAATTGTCATCAAGTATTGGTTTACATCTTGTAAAAAAGACTGCCACTTCTCTTACAAAGTAATTCCCAGTGTGATAACATTTTGGGATGTGACTCTACTATCCCTCAGAAAGTTTTCCTAAACGCCTTAAGGCAATTCAGTTGAATTCAGGTCAAACTTCTAGTGTGGAGAAGGCAGATTCTGGATGTTGTTTGCATCAAACCATTGTTGGACCCAATGTCAGACATCGTTCATAGGATCAAATTCAAACTAACTGAAACAAGTCCACATCAAAATATTGCTCCTAGTATTCTTCATGGTTAAGAAGACAGATGCCATCATACTCAAAACAGTCTTTCAATCCATTCAAAGCAAGCACTGATTAGCAGGATTTAACGTCCCACATGATGATTTTTCATATTTCTTTAGGCAAACAAAAATATTCAGTATTTAGTTGAGAAATCAATCGTTTTAGTTTAC